CACTCACCTCAGCCTCCCAAAGGCGCGGGATTACAGGTTGAGCCACCGAGCCCGGCCGGGCCTTTGTAATTTAAGACCTGGTAGCCTATAACAAGGATAACAAACAGTACAAGTGGACAAGCCATTAAAAGAAACAGTGGGCCGGGAGCACTTTGGGAGGCCGAGACCAGTGGATTGCCTGAGCCAGCAGGTTCGAGACCTGCCCAGGCAACTTGGTGAGACCTCGTCTGAACAATAAATCAAAAATTGAGCCAGGCATGGTAGTGTGCGCCTGTAGTTCTGGCTACATGGAAGGCTGAGACAGAAGAATTGCTGGAGCCCAGTAGGTCGACGCTGCAGTGACCGTGAGCATACCACTCCACTCCAGCCTGGGCAATGGAGGGAGACTCCAACTCAAAAAAAAAAAAAAGAAAAAGAAACAGCAATCTGCACTGTCAAAAAACCAGAAAGACAGCATCCAAAATCCCTCCAAAGATGCCACTCCAAGAGAGATGTCAGCACCTAACAAGCGGTTCTTCCCCTGGATGTCCAGGAGAAATCATCCATGACAGTCGGACAGAAGTCCTCCACACTATGCAGCTCCACTGACCTCTATTAAAATTCTAAAAGTAGCCGGGCTCGGTGGCTCAGCCTGTAATCCCGCGCCTTTGGGAGGCTGAGGTGAGTGGATTGCCTGAGCCGTGGGTTCGAGACCCGCCTGGGCAGGCGAGACCTCATCTCTACAATAAATCAAAAAATCAGCCAGGCGTGGTAGCGCATGCCTGTAATTCTGGCTACTCGGAAGGCTGAAGCGGAAGAATCGCCGGATCCCAGCGGGTCGAGGCTGCGGTGGCCGGGAGCGGCCACTGCACTCCAGTCTGGGCGACCGAGTGAGACTCCAATTCAAAAAAAAAATAAAAAATAAAAAATAAAATTCTAAAAGTTAACTAAAGCACAAAAGGACAAGCAAAGTGACTTTTAATAACACAAAACAGAGAAATTTTGACTTTTAGTTAAAATAGGCCAGGCACGGTGGCTCACACCTGTAATCCCAGCACTTTGAGAGGCTGAGGCTGGAGGAACAATCAAGGCCAGGAGTCAAGACCCACTTGGACAGCATAGCGAGACCTTGTCTCTGCAAAAAATAAAAAAAATTATCCCGCGTGCCTGTAATTCCGGCTACTTGGAAGGCTGAGGCGGAAAGATCGCCGGAGCCCAGCAGGTCGAGGCTGCGGTGGCCAGGAGCGGCCACTGCACTCCAGTCTGGGCGACAGAGTGAGACTCCAACTCAAAAAAAAAAAAAAATTCAGGTGTGGTGGCACAATCTGTAGGCCCAGCTGCTCAGGAGGCTGAGGTGGAAGGATTGCCTGAGCCCAGGAGTTTGAAGATGTGGTGAGCTGTGATCATGCCGCTGCACTCCAGCCTGGGTGACAGAGTGAGCCCTAACTTAAAAAAAAAAAAAAGTTAAAATAACTGCAAGGGGAAAAAATGATAACAAAAGACAAATTCGGGGGTATGGAATAAATGCTAAAAGGCTTGAGGGAAAATGAACCTTATTTACATTTTAGAAATAAAACAACTCAAGTAATCAAAAATCTCGAATGAGACTGTCCTAACCTATAGGTATTACATGAAGATCA